TTCATACCTGGCAAACCTGGGTGCTGTTCCAGAGTGGTTGCAAGCAGGGACCAAGATTTCTCGGAAGACTTTTAACTTTGAGCCTAGAGGGTGGTTGACGTTTGTGTGCAGCCGACTTGACCCCACTACCCATGATCAGACTATTCCACTTGCCCAGGCTATTCTTGTTGCATCTATTATGGCGGGCGATCCTATCAATGTGGGCAATGTGATGTCCTGTGTCATTTCTGCAGTGGGGGTTGAGCATGACCGGAACTATCCTTTTCCCAACACCCTTACTATGTATTTCCGGGACTTATAGGTGGAAAAGAGAGATTTTGATATCAAGGTCAACCCTGTGGCTCCATTTTCATGGTACAGTTTGAAGGGGTCGGACAACCCCAAGGACAAGAATTACAAGCCGTCTGCCTCTGCTCCAACTGGCCAGTCTGAAGAGCCGGTTGCGGTAGAGCCCTCCACTGAGCCTGCCTCCACCACTGTTGAGCTGCCTCCAGGACCTTCCACTACTACTGGTCCTTCTACTTCAGCTGGTCCGGAGATTCCATCTTCCCGGGCCCATCCTATGACTGCCCGCATGCTGCACCAGACACTTCAGAGCCTGAACAACTGGATGTATACTGCTTCATCCAAGTTGTCCACTTTGACCTCCACTATTGCAGCCCAGTCGGCTCCTCCACCAGTTCAGGTCCCACAGTCTATAGAGGATGCTTTGAAGAAGTTGCTTGATAACCGGGAGAAGATCCTCAACACCCAGGCCGAGTTGGTGAAGGCAGTGGCATCACATGGCAAGGCTCTCAAAGAGCTTGCCAAGGAGCACAAGAAGTTGCGCAAGACACGGGCTTCCAGGGAGTCCGTGAAGAAGCTCAGGGCAGATGTAGAGAGACTGAAGGCAGATCACCTGCCTTTAGATTTATTATTTGAGGATCCAGCTCCAGCAGCAGAGCCACAGTAGAAGCAGACACAGATGCTTCCTAGGAAGAAAAGGAAGCTCCCCAGTGCAGATGAGGCGATCATCCAGTTGGCAGACCCACCGGAGGCCTCCTCCAGTCAGCCACAGGATGCCCCTGACTCTCAGCCTGTCCAGGTCCAAGCCCCAATCCCATCAGCTGAGCAGCATGAGACCGGGAACCAGTATGAGGTTTCCGCGCATACAGAGGACCCGGGGACAACTCATGTTCCTATGCAGACGGACGAGGCTTAGGGAGTCTTCACATCCTTTCACTACTTTTTGGTGCTTATTTTTGCTTTAGTTGGCATTGGGGACAATGCCAGCTTTTATTTGAGGGGGTGTGCCCTACTTTTATCCATGGATGACTGTATATATAGATTGACTTAGTTTATGCTTTCTTTGATTGCACTTGGTCTGTATATAATCTTGCATTTAGTTACTTTTATCGTACTTTTGATCTTTCTTTTGGTCTGTATATAAAGTTACATTATTGTATATATTCATCGCTCATTGTATATTCTAATCCCCTATTGTAAATATTCATTCTATTCTCTATTTTCGCAAAATTTTTTCGTTTTTAGCTTCTTATATAGGCTCGTAGCCCTTTGTTTTATTTTGGACGTTTTTAATAAGCCTTTGGTTTTCTTAATGCCACGGTTCTTTCCAAGGGTGGAGTATTGTGTGAACCGGGTGGCTCTTCCCGATGATGGATGGCGTGACAACCTTCTTAAGGGTTTGAGTCCGTTTTTTTGATTTTTCTTTTGTTTTTAGTAGTTTTTAGTTAAGGGTACTTCAAGCATAGCTTTACTTGGGCCTAACACATTTGCCTTTGATCCCATGGTCAAAGACAAGTGGTTGTGTTTAGGATGGTGAAAGTAGTGACCATGAGACTCTTGTGTTGACCAAACGAACATCATGTGGTCTTTCGGGACTATTGTGTGCTCAATCGTATCTAAGGTTGTTGTGGGCCCTCGACTCTACGTCTTTAGCAATCCTTGAGTGTGTGTGGTGAGAAATTGAATTATGAGTCCAAGTCCCGAGCCAATGGTCTAGAACTTGCCCTGAATGTTTATTGAGGCGAAATTTTGAGTGAAATTCGACTTGAGAAGTGATTATAGGCTCTCCTTGATCCAAATGATAAGTTGAACAATTCCATAGCCTACCAATGAGATAATCCCTAGCTAACCCCTTTTGAGCCTTAAACTTTCTTCTTTCAAGAACCAATGCTACAAGCCTATACCCGTTCTAAATCCTACCCTCTCTTGGCACCCACATCTTCCCTTGAGTAATGGCAAAATGTAAGTTTGGGGGGAGAGACAAGAAAGGAAACAAAAGGGGTAAAAGGTACAAAAGCAAAAGAAAAGGAAGGCAATGAGGAAGAAAGAAAAGAAAAAGACAAAAAGAAAGCCCAATGTGAACTAGAATAAAAAGGGATTCAAGGAAAACAAAAGTGAAAAAGGTGTGGAAAAAGTAGAAAAAGGAGAAATGTTTTGAATTGCATAAGAAAGAGTGAAAATGTGTCTCTCTAACCCCTTGGAAGAGGTAAAATGACACAAGAGTCAAGTGAATTGTGCCAAATGAATCAAAAGAAGTTCTTAAGGGAAGATTGAACCCACTTGAACAAAAACATATCCTACCCTTACCCAAAAGCCTTCACATTGACTCCACAAAAGCCCTATATGATCTTGAGTTGGGTGACGCTCGCATTAGTGGATACTTACATGAGGGTCAAGCATATGGTACTTAGAGCCGGACTTGTGACATTTCCTTGAGAGAGACGAGCGAACTCCCACTAACCTCGGTTTGTGTGCTTATACTCTAAAAGGTGAGGTTTGCTTAGGGAGAGTTGAGGATGTATGAGTTTGGATTCCACAATGACTAAAGTAATTGAGAGAGCTCTTTGATGTATGAGTCAATCCTTGATGCTCTTGTGTCACACTTGATCCATAGTTTTCAAGGTTTAAATGTTGTTAATGATCCATTTGTATTGAGGGCAATTGTTAGTCCCAATTGAGGCTTGTTGAGGTTACATTAGGATAGCTGGAATTACTTGGATTGTCCTTTAGGGAGTGGGTCTTATTTTGTTTGCTTGAGGACAAGCAAAGGTTTATGTTTGGGGGAGTTGATAAGTCGTGATTTTACATGTTTTATGCCCCTGCTTGCCTATGCTTTGGTTATAAATCGCTACCAAATAGTCCCAAAATGCTCATAAGTTGTGCTCGATTGCAGGTTTGATCGACAAAGTGACGAAATGTCAAAGATCGGCTCAAAAGGAGTGAAACCTGCTCAAGTATCAAAGACTAAGTGAATTGAGGAAAAGAGGGCCTAGTGCGGACCGCGCAAAAGCGACCGCGGCCGCACTAGGAGATTCAGAGAGTTGGTATAATCAGGCTGAAGGCTACGTGGACGCAGTACGTTTCTCGCGGTCCGCGGTTAGACTCCGCAGCCGCACTACTCTTTCATGCGGTCCGCGGACATGAGGTTCAGAGAGGTTGACAAATGGCCAATTCCAAGCAATGCGGTCCGCGATCGTACTTGCGTGGACCGCGCCAACTCCTTCCGCGGCCGCGATTCAATCCACGCGGTCCGCGGTCCTCAAGATCAGAGAAGCTGAAAGTTGAAGTTAAAGAGCCAGTGCGGCCGCGGTCCTTTTTGTGCGGCTCGCACTGACCCCGCAGGGGTATTTTTGTCCAATTTTTCCAACCTAGTATAAATAGAACATTTTACCATTTTTAGGTAAGCTTTTGTATTCCAGAGATAGTTGCGCTCGTGAGACTCGGTTTTGTAGCCATTTTTGGCACTTTTGCTTTATTATTACGATAGATTCTTGTAGTTTCATTTAGCAATTAATTATTATGTTCAGTTCTTCATCCATTTCTTCGTTTTCTCTTTCATGCATGAGTAGCTAAACCCATTAGCTAGGGTTGTGGCTCAACCCTAGTGTGGGTAATTGATGGGTGTTGCCATCTAGGGTTAGATTGATTATGTGTGTTTGTTGTTTGGGTTGATTTTTTGTTTTTATTTAAGAATTGGTGGTTGCAAACACCGATCAAGCTTTGTCAGTTTGACTCTTCTTGAGAAAGAGAGTTTATGACCCCAAAATTGACCCAACAAGGAATTGGGATGGACTCATTAGAAATGATAGTCCCAATTAACGGGTTAAATCTCGAGAGAGTAATGACCCTACTTGAACCCTAGTTGCTTGATCTAATTGGCCTACCCAATTGGTCTCGAGAGAGTCAATTGGGCAAAATCACTCTCTCTACTAAGAGGTGTGAGAGTGGGTACAATTGTGCAACGGTTATAGCATAAGCCCCAAATATGTCAATCTATCCTTAGTAACATCTACCCGTCAATTAGCCACCTAGGTAGTGTCACGACCCTAGTGCCTTTCTTCTCATTAGATACAACTTAGCAATATTCTAGTAGCATAATTTAGCGTTAATCATTAGTTTTATCATAGTAGTTATAAAATCAAAAACCAAGAATGTTTGAAGTGACATTAGGAGTATAAACACATCTCTAGACTAGACAGAAAATCCAACTCCACTACTAGCTCCCTGAGGAAATCGATCCCGACCTCTATTCGGGTAAAAGCTATTGCGACCCTCTCTCGCTACTTTTTAGTGGTGCAGAGTAGGCAGTGATCAGGAATCCAAATCAAATGTACAAGTACCATGGAACCCATGGTCACAGAACCAAAAACTGTTGACTGTTCAGGGAGGAGGTAACTCGTTTATTCAATGAGGGTCACCTTCGAGAGTTCTTAAGTGACCGAGCTAAAAATCACTTCAAAGACAGGGACGCAAACAGTAAAAATGAATAGGAAGAACCGCAACATGTGATTCATATGATCGTTTGTGGGGTCAATGTTCCTCAAGGCTCGATATTCAAGCGCACCAAAGTGACAATCACAAGGGAGAAACGTACTCGGGATTACTTACCAAAGGATACCTTATCTTTCGACGATGAGAATGCAGAAGGAATCGAACAACCTCACAATGACACACTGGTAATATCTATCCTTATGAATAAAATTCAAGTTAAACGTATGTTGGTTGATCCAGGTAGCTCAACAAACACTATTCAATCGAGGGTTGTAGAGCAACTCGGCCTTCAGGATCGAATCGTGCCTGCAGCTAGAGTGCTCAATGGTTTCAACATGGAAAGTGAAGCCACCAAAGGGGAATTCATGTTCCCAGTAACCGTGGCCGAAACTATCCAGGATACGAAGTTTCATGTACTCGAAGGTGATATGAGATATAACGCGCTGCTCGGGAGACCTTGGATCCATAATATGAGAGCGGTACCTTCAACGCTTCATCAAGTATTGAAGTTCCCAACGCCCAAAGGAATCAAAACAGTGTACGACGAACAACCAACAGCCAAAGAGATGTTTGCAATTGATGAGAGGATACCAGTATCGGCTCTAACATCGACAAAGGGAACATGATCGAAGGAAAACAGGAAGTCAAATAGCAACCACAGTCACCGGCCTCGACCAGATCGGAACAGCAGGAAACCATCGAGGATGATGATCATGTGATTCCTCGGACCTTCATAATTCCTGATGATTCCAATGCTACGAAGTCAATGGTTGAAGAGCTGGAACAAGTCATACTGATCGAGTACCTGCCCGATTGAAAGGTATACCTGGGCATGGGGTTAACTCCCGAGCTTAGGGAAAAACACATTAAATTCCTTATTAAAAATATGGATTGTTTTGCTTTGTCCCACCTTGACATGACAGGGATCCCGCCGGAGATTACCACTCATCGACTAAGCCTGGACCCGAAGTTCAGACCGGTAAAGCAAAAGAGAAGGCCACAGTTCGAGGTTAAGCATGCATTCATCAAGGATGAGGTAACTAAACTTCTCAAAATAGGGTCCATTCGTGAAGTAAAGTATCCCGAATGGCTAATAAACGTAGTCGTAGTGTTGATACCCAATTTTTCCCTATAATATTTTTGAAATGCATCATTAGCATCAATTGGTATTTTTCCATAATTTTTACATTTTTAAATTAATTTATCTCAGTATTTTATTCATACAAATAATTACAAATTACATCACAAAAGTTTTAAAACATTTCTTGATTTAATATTATTATTTATGGTCCTATTAAATTCAAACTATTTCATAAATGGTCAAATTGGCACATTTTGGTTATAATTGGAATTACTTTACAATTATAGCCAATGCGTACATTTCTGGTATTATTTTACCAGAAACTACTCCTCCGTATTTTAGAATACTAAATAACTATTTTTAAACATTACCATACATGAAAAATCATTTTTCCAATTAGTAATTATTTTACAAATTATTTTTAATCAATTGTTTGGGTAGTTAACAAATAGCCTCTTTTATTTCAATTTTAACCTAAAATCTACCAGCCCAAAACCCCCTTTATATTAAACCAAAACTAGCCCAAAACCCTTTAGGCGCAATCCGTATTCACCCGACCCAAACCCCTTGGCCAATCTTGGCCGTTGATCACTTTGATCAAACGCTCAGGATATTTCCTACCATAATTAAGCCTACCTACACCCGCAAACTCTAATCATTCTCCCACTAGACCCGCCGTCACCTGTTCCCTCGTCTCTCAAATGCTCTCTAACTCTAACCCTAATCCACCCTCGCTGTCACTCACCTACTGCCCTCCTATGGTGGTTCTTCACCACCTCAGGCCTCTAATGGCCTCCTGCTTGCTATGGTATCTCCATTTCTTGGATCCTTGATGAGATTCTCAAGGGACCTAGGCGGTCTATTTACACCTTGGTTTTTTTTTGCCTATTTCAGGCCATTTGACTCGACCTTGAGTAAGATCTTTCTCTTTTTTTATCCGTGGACTCCTAAGTCTATGTTTTCATCTCTGTTTTACTTCTAAAAAACCCCAATTTTATCTTTGATCTTCTCAGATCTATACAAATCTGAGACGGATTGAACGTACTTCACATGCTTTCTTGAAAGCTTTCTATTTTTCAAGTGATTTTCTGTTCTTCCTAAAACTAGGGTTTACTGAAACTTGTATTCTCAAAGTTTTTCTAATTTTCGAATGTTAATCGTCTGTTTTCAAGTATTATTGATTGATTTTTGCAAAAATTGTCTGGACCCTAATCGAATTATGCTGAAGCCCTAATTTTCATATATTTCGCTTCGATTCTGAGTCTTTCCATGTTACTTGTTACATCGTTTTGTTCTATGCTTTGATTTTCATGATTTCCCCTTAGTCTAATTCAATGTCTTGTGATTTTTGCCCTAGTTCATGTCTATTAGGGTTTCTGGTTCGATTTCTCGGCTAATTTCTGAAATTCTATTTAGCCTAGTTATCTATTTGTGGAAACTGATATTATCTTCCGCAAATCAGTACTACTTTGAATTTTGATCTACTGATTTGCTCTGTCAAAACTTATGTGTTGATTCTTGATTATTTCCCTTGTTTACAACCTTAATTAGTTTTCTTACCTTATGCGTAATTATTAATTGGTCCTGCTAGCCTGATTTTATGCTTTGATTTTTCAGAACCAACTTCTAATTGATTTCGGAGTTAGCTCTTGCCTTATTTAACCTAGCCCTTAATTACTGATTGATTCCATATACAATTTTTCTTAAATCAAGTAATACTAGGCTGACTTTATGGCTAATTTGTTCATGACTGACTTCACTTGATCGATTGTTTGATTATTTTCTTACCTTATTAACCTTGCTCTGATTTACTAAAGGATTCCGTATGAGACTTCCTTAAATTAAGTATCATTTATGAGATTTTGGCCCCTTAATTGAGTCATGACTGATTGTTAATTGATTTCCATACCTTATGTGCATATGATTGGCTCATTACCTTATGTGTCCTACTCTATTGCATCCTATAAAACCCCCATTGTTCTGGTTCTCGACAGACATCAGTTCATATATATACACACACACACACTCAACTATTCTCCTTCTTGCTACTTGTGTTACTTGTGCTATTGTGGGTCTAGCCAAGGCTAGACAGTGAGGCTACTTGCTCTATATTCTGCACTATTTTCCCTCAACTGGTATGTCTCTAGTTACATTTGACACCCAAACTCTATGTGTTTCATCCCTGCATTAGTTCATTGGTTATGTATTTGGCCTACTCTCTTATTTACATCTTTGTTCAAGCATACCTGAAATTCTGCCCTGCTCTATGTGCAACTAATATGTTTACACTTCACATGTTTATCTAATGTTTGAACAGCCTGTCTAAGCATGAGTTATGCTTAGTTGTGTGATCATGCCTATGGTTAATCCTGCTTGTGTTTCTATCCTCCACATCTTTGCTCCATGTTTAGTTGCCTGCTATCCTGGATAATTTGTTAAGGTTACAAGTAGTCTATGTCTATCTGTCTCCCTGCACCCCATTCATGCACCCTCAATAAGATCTCCATGTGTTCCCAATCCCCTTTTCACCCCTGTGTGCAAACATGTTTGCTAAAGTGTCTGTGAAACTAAACTTTTTATGATCTATTGACTGTCTACTGAATTTGCTCTCCTCTAAACTGTTTTCAAAATGTGTTCTTCTAAAACTGGTTTCATTCCTAGCATTTTCCTTATAACTAGTCTATTCTAGAAGATCTTTAACTCCTAAGAATTTATCTCCACAGTGTTTTCACTAAGTCTTTTCAAGCACTCTCACTTACTCTTAGATTATTAAGTTCTGCCCCTCTGGTATGTATACTGCCTGGAGATCCTTGAGATCTCTCCGAACTCAGGCATATCAGGGCTGGCTTCCACACTACACATAATCAGCCTTAATTTGAGAAAAGTATGGGTGTGAGCACTGCCCGGGATCCTTGAGGTCCTTAGGTAACTCTGACACACTTGGACATGAATTGGGCTATGAAAGTCCTTGTCATTTGAGACTACTAAAGGCCTGGTACACCAGAATTTGCTTTGGTCCTACTTCAGGCTCCCTTTAGCTTAATTTATATTTTATTTATGTAATTTTTATTCAATCACTAGTCTTTTATAATTAATTTTAAACACATATTGGGGTGACTAGTGAAAAAGGAGGGTAGTTGTACGGTACTGTGGATAAAGCTGGGTAGCTAACATGCCTATATGTGTTTACTTTATACTATCGTTTGTTAGATAACCTGCCTATGGCTTTATTTCATTCAAAAGCACTCTGCTATTGCATGTTTGAAAACTTGCCTAGATGTTTACTCTAATCAGTATTGCGTGCTAGATAACATGCCTATAGGATTTACTTTGGCTCAAATGTGCTTTGTTAGATAACCTGCCTATAGGGTTTGCTTTGGTTGAAATAAGTTCTGCCTACTTTGCTTTTCATGATTAGATGCCATGCCTATAGGGAATAAAATAACTAAGGTTCAACTTTCATTACAGCATCAAATCCGTCTCTTTAGAAATCATGCATGTAGGTTTAAATTGGTTGTTACACTTGCTCAGTCAATATGCGTGTCTAATAAGAACTAATAGCAGTTTCACTCATTAGAGATAGAACTCATGTCCATAGGGTAATTATCATATGCTTTATGTACTAAAACTGGAACTTCATACAGTGTCTTGTTAAATGTCACTAGAAAGCATGCCTATAGGATAAAAGAACTTTTAAATGTTTCCCAGAATCGTGACTGCATATACACACTTAGGCAAGCCTTAGGACATTAAATAATTGTGAAGCCAAAACTGTTTACGTGCGAAATTATCCAGGCTTAACAGGCTATAAAACCAGTAGGCAAACTGGTTAGGATTCTGCCACTTCCCTTAAAACAAACGCTGCATGTTCTGTTTTGTGATGTTCATCTAGATGTCATGTTCTTAGGCTTTCTGAACTTATTCAAATATTAGTTGTTTGAGACGTGTTGCTTATATGCTTATGTACATGTGGAGGTAAACATGAGCCTTAACTGTTTTTCCCTATTTGATTGTCCTATATGTTCTTTGCTTGTCGCCTAGATTTTCCCTTTTAAACACCATAGGCTGTCTAGAACTACCCAGATTTAGAGGTCCTAAACTCTTCCAGGACCACAAGAAAGGGACAGGTAGCAGCACTCTTAGAAGTCGTAATTAAACTCGCTTATATAACCACTAAGGGGAGGGTAATGGGTAGTAAAAGGATATGATGACCTGCGCGCTAATGTCACGTGTAGCCCCTCTAGTTGAGGAGGATTACCGGGCATTGCACAGTTTGATATTTTAGGCTAATCAACTTTGGACTTCCCTTTCCTAATTCCTATATGTGTTTAAATCATCTAAACTTCCCTTTCTTGACATATACATGTTTAAGCTATCCAAACCTCTCTCTTACTTTTATTATCTGAATTTCCTTGATCATATATGTATTTAGAATGTGAAAACTACCTTTATTTGCAAATATGTGCCAAGACTGTTTACTTGATTAAAGACTAATTCACTTAGTTTAAGTTTGGCCGGGACCCACCGTTGTGGACCGCGAGGAGT